GGTTATCCATGCCATGAAAAGTTTTTGCTTGGAGCAATGAATCTTCTCGCAGTCGCAAGCCCATCAAATGAAATCCAACTGTTGAAAATGTGACTCTTAGTCTGTTAGAGGCCTTTCTCCCGCTGTGATCTGATGATTACGAACCTTTCAGTACGACAGTAGTGGGTGTGGCCGTCTTTTCAGTTACTCGAAACAATAGAGTGAGGATGGAGAAGATGCAAATATCCACTCCAGAACCAGCGAAAGAGTCGAACACTCCTGAAAATCGATATATCGATTCCTACACCCACTTTAGATAACGTCCTCTTGTACAGGGTGTGGCACAGAACATTCACTGGAAAATCGGGTCCTGTGTAAGTAGCACAAAGATCCAACATCAACTATCCCTATGCCCACTTAGTCCCTAATGAAACCCTTGCTTGCCAGACTCATTGAATTTGCTCCCTCTAACTGACCTCCAACGAATCCTGTAAAGAAGAGTATTACAGCTTTCCACCAGCAAAAGTCAGGGATATCCTTGAATGTGGTGCGTTTTTTCTGAGAGTTCAGATTGCCAGAGCTATAGCGAAGGATGTCCAAATTGCAACGAACATCATCTTCTTCTGTGGTCCAGTGAAGAGCGGATCTATCTGTAAAACGTGACATAAGAGTGTCAACTAATCAATCATCGATTTTTTGACGAACTCACAAAATGTACTCCGATTATGAAGCCGGGAATCCCCCCAAGTGTGCCGAGTATGACAGCACGGTTTTCGATCTTCACCTTCATGAACAGTACACATATCAGAGCCGATGTCATACCTGAAAGATCAATACTTGATCGGTTCGTGTGGATGTTCCCTCGAATTTAAGGTAAAATCAATATATCGATCGCTAACCGCATGACTGAATCATCAGTGAAAAGTCCCTGGCTATCTCTGGGGAAATATGTAGTGCCAAAGTCATCACGGGGAACGCTACTGCACCACTTCCTTCTGAAGTTATTCCTGAAAAAAGTCATCCATAGATCTGATTTTCTTAAAAAATCAATAAATCGATTGCTTACCTCCAACGAAGGAGCCAAGGATCATTGTCACGGGCATGTGCCAGTATTCTGGATACCATCGGAAGAAGTTGTGTCGGATGGCGACCATCCACCAAACGGTCTTCAACACACTTATTGAATGGAATCGATGAGAAATATTGATTTATGTGACTATTCACCTGCATGAGCACGAAGGGAATGAGCATGGCAACGAATTTTCGGTATTTGATGAAGATAAGGTCCTCCAATGTTGGGTTTTCCGGTAATGTGTGCAGTTCAGCCTCAGCTTCATTGTCCAAATACTGACCTGAAGTTGGACCACGATAGTGAAAGGGAATGAATAATCAATTGACCAATCACTTACCTTCCAAAAAGTATTTTCGGAACCATCGCTTCACTTTCTGACCACATGTGGGTGGTTCCTGTGGTACATAAGGCCGCCTTGAAAGGGTGCCTGGAAGATTCACCCAGATTTTTCCTGTGGATATTCTGCAGTCCATATCTTGCGTCAGAGGGGGAGTGTCCACGGGGTGTGCCTGAGTGCATCCGCTGTGGGCGGCTGGTGGTTCAGGCCAAGATATTGCCAAACTATGCCAATGAACACTTCCCCTCAAACCCGGAGATACGCTAGAGACTGTACCTGTGCCGAGATTGGGCTCAGTCGGTTGAACAGTGTCTATACCCATGCTGTCTCACTGAAATACGGTAGTGTTGGAGAAGAAGATGATCGGAAAACGGAATAACCAATGGATGAAGTACAGAGGTACGGTAATAAAGGGTAGTAGCCATAGGCATAGACCTGAAAAAAGGCTCAATTTCGGTAAGGCTTAACCCCGTGAAACGTGGTCCACCTCAAGATCTGAGAAATTTTGCGTGGTACTCCTTTCTGTTCTTGTCTGAACCTTTCTACAGTCCTCATCATTGCGGACCGGTGGGGCGTGGCAGTGCGGCTGCGTTTGGTGCGGTTTGGCAAAATCGTTCTGCACCAGTTTTTGAAGCGGGCAAGTGCATTACTGTATAATATCCTTCGTATCACTCGTTTTCTACCACTTTTGTCGCATACGCGTTGCAACAAAAAGGCTGAGAACGGCTTCAACAGTGTGCGCACTCCTTCTGGCTGACACGCCCCACCGGTCCGCAATGATGAGGACTGTATGTAGGTAAGGGGTCCGAGATGGCTTCGTTACTTGTCCTCTACGATATTACCCATTGCAACTTTTCACACTTGACTAACGACTCATCTAGCTTTGAGCCGCCCCCCCCCTATCCCGAACAGTACAGTAAGCCGACTGAAAAACTGGGCCATCTTAATACGGCTACTTCACCCACTAATGCGACCACATTTTGATCAACGCCGGAGAACACATTGATCAAAATCGGGAACATGTTGCTGAATGCTCGGTCCTCCAGCAATTCTAATTCCTGACTAGGGTTAGTGGCATTACGCGCCTGGCACGCGGAAAGCTGCCGGCGCCAATACACCAGTTGATGAAATCTTTCGATTGCTGTGGCATATCGTATACTGCCTCTCAAACATGAATATTCATTAATGTCGTCTTCTATGCCCCACAAAAAGCCTCGCGGTTACGCTCCAGGCGCCAGTCCCTCGAGGAAACGGTCCGCGATGGTCTAGGAAAACTGCCACCCTTCCTATCGCAGACCTTGCCTTTCACTGAAATGTTCAACCGAAATATGACCTGAACTTGAGAAAGTGGGGCACTGAAAGGCAGATAGTCCGGAAATCACATCCCCCTACTCCCACCTACCAGACACACTCAGCAGCCATATAAGCATACTTGAAAACTATAAACTCTGGCAACTTTCACACTATTGCAGCTCCAGAACGAGGTCTGAGTTAGGGCGCACTGAGCAGCACCAGGGGTGGGGGTCGTATGCTCTCAGGAAAGTTAGCGTTGAGTTCGATCTTAAGTATCCTCCTCCCGATTTTTCCCAACTACGCGCGCTATCTGATTCGGGGTGGGGGGAGGGGCAGGGCACGCTATCGCGTTGTGATAAATTCCTGTAAAATACAACCCCCCCCCTCTCCCTAATTTCATCCCTGATACGACTTCCCCCTTCCAATCCTACCTACCACTTTCCTAGATGTTCCCAACCTCCTACCACTAGTAGCCATAACCATAGACCTGGATAGAAAAAGGTCCAACTCTCGGTACCGCCGTCAGGAACTAACCAACTATCAGGAATAGTCTGTATAGAACCTTGGCGGCACATAACAACAGTGAAACGGGAAACTGCAGAAAGTCAACAACCGGAAAGAGTTTCTTCCAACGTCGCAAATTCCTCTCAGAATCAAATACGACCCCTCCCCTGCCAACAACGAGTAGATACGACCCCCCTCCCCCTTCATAGCGTGCGTGAAACAAGAGAAATTAACTATCAAAAAGAAATTTTTCGCAGACTCGAATTCGACGCTCCCGTTGTTATTATCACAACGATGGCGTGCCCTGGTGGGGGGGATAGGTACTGACACCGTTCCTGCCCATCCCGAGGCTGCATCTTGGTATTATTGCATCGAGATACTTATTTCTAGGCTCTAGTAAAACTTTGTGAGAAATAGTACACAACGGTATGAATGAAGCGAAGTAGACGACGTGGGATTCGTTGTCTGTTCTCACACCGACTGGAGATGTGAAGTTTCTC